TGCAGCACTCCCATGGCGTTTTTTGCAGCCTTGTGGCACTGCAGTGTTGGTTTCAGGTTGTTCTGTATCCAAACCCCGAGATCCTTCTGTGAAGATTCTGCGGGGAGCCTTATATCTTTCAGGTGATATGTCCTCAGGCTCTCATTTGAATGGGAGCTGGTTGGATGCAGATGAAGGACGACACACTTCTCCACATTAAAATCTAGAAGCCATTTCTTCGACCACGCTTGCAGTTTGCGGTTGGGCGGGTTTATGCTTTAGGGTTTGGGCTTGACAAGTGCCAGTTTCATGATAAAGCTAACTGTGATTTATTTCATTACTTGAAGTTAGTTTATTATCTGGGGATCATGAGACAACTTATCTATTGTTCAGGCGACATGGATCTCGATATCGGGACCTACCATGATAAAAAAGTCGTAATTTCTGTTATTATACGAATTACTTCCTCTCTCTTTCTCCTATCCTACTTATGTTTTTCCATATCTTACTCGCTGAACTTTACGTTGTCTTTGTTTTTTACACTGTCTTTGCTCGTTTGACTACCCGCAATAGGCTGTTTAGCCAACACGTAGCATGCAAATAAACTAGCTCCATTGTAACGTCCCTTGACTTAAACAGTGTTGTTTAAATGCTGTGACACTTGGCGCGGGCCTGGGATGGTGATGGTGTGACTGCGGGCTTGTGAAGACGGCCGACAGCCACTCCCACAACGTACCGCCGTTTTCGTGACTCTCTCACTATTAACGTCGGCTCCCGCCTCGGCCTTTACCTGCAGTTGCCCATAACGCTGCGTCCCCACCGGCTGTTTAGCTAGTATTTCAGGATAATCATAATAATTTTTATTAAAGACCCGTCGGGGTCCCAGCAAAGCAAGTTAAAATAAATTTACATGTGAGTTTTAGACGAGGTAGGAAGAATCTTTACAAAATGCAATTCATGGTTACTGAATTAGTAGTCCATTAAGAAACATGGTTAGTGGGGGGTGAAAAAAAACTCCATTCAAAAAGTTAAAAAGGATTGGATTAATTTTACAGGAGAAAAAATAACCCCTCAATAAAAATAATGACGGAAGAAAGCGAGCAGGACAGGCCTGTATGTGGCGGTATATAACGGATTGTAGTCGGACATCGTCAGGGTAACAATAAATCTCAGCCTTGAGGGGTACATGCGAGGGTCAGACAGGACTGGCCTGCATGTGATATTGTGTACGGGATTCACAACTGACGTCGTCTGGGCCTGATTGACACGCCGCATGAGACTATTCGCGTCAAAGAGGCCAGACGAGAGGAACCCAGATGCCATCGGCCACAGCACGCTTCGAGCTCAGCTGAGGATTGGGGAAGGGAGATACGACCAAACTACTAGTAGACGGCGAATACTGAGGGTTCCGCCATGAGCGTCGACAGACCGCATGAGGTCAGAATGCGGGAGATGACATCAAAAACGCGAAAATTGTCGCTATGGGGGAGGAGTGATAACAGAGGATTTATAAACCAATTCAAAACAGGGGTTTCTAATGATATAATTAATAGTTACCACTTAATCTACCACTAAATCCCAGGAGGACCCCTTTTGGAGTGGTGAATCTTAGTGTTCGGAAATGAGACCGTTAACAGTGCGTTTATGCTTTTCGGTGTAAGATGTTTGCGTAATTTCGACTTGAAAACCAGTAACGTAGGTGATAATCTAATTGCAGGCGGAAGATTATTCCAAAGGAAGGCATATTTGGAAGCAAAGAAGAGGGAGCGCTTAGATGTAGTGCAAAGAGGCGGCGGAATCACTATGCAGGAGTAGCGCGTGGCATAAGACCGATCTCTCGGAGTGAGAGTGTCAATGAACGGAAGACTGAAGCTAGAGTTGATGCGAAAACGTATGTCCCCCGGTGGCGTTTCTCCTGCCGAAGCTTTCGTGGGCCGAAGACTGAGCACAACGTTTTATGCCCTCGTTCTTACCGGTGTGCAGCCCGCGCAGGCTTCATTCGAATCAAGGTCAAGGCGCGCAGCTCAATTTCAAAGATAAGTAAAGCTTTGCATTTACTTGTATATTCTTAAGCACTTAACTCCTGGTTGTTTACTTGAGTCGTTTTTAAAATCGCCTTCACTTCAAGGTATAATTTTTCCCAGAATTTGTTGACAGTCTGGCAAAATAGTCGTATTTTATAAAAAAAAACTTTTAAAGACTCCTTTCCACACTATCTCTTTCTAGTTTTCGTAGTTAAATAACAGTAGTACTTGCTATTCCGTCCGCTTTTCTGTACGTTAGCAACGTTTTGATCCTTCTACTGTAACGAAGACTTTTCTTGTCTGTAATGTCCCGCAGAGCACGTGCTTAAAGAACAAAGTTTGCGGCCTCCCCACCGTCTCTGGCTGCCAGAATCATGACCGGAGACACAGCAGGTGCCAGCATATGTTCTTCGCCTTCTGCAGATATGGTTAACTCACAAATCCCTTTAGTTAAAGTAGAACCTCTTGACCCTCAAATCGTCAAAAACTACGCCTCTGCTAGTCGTAACCGGCCATCAGCTGACGAAATACTCGATCAGTTGATATATGGATACATGAACAGTACTTCTGAAATAGTAATTGAACAAGCTTTTAAATTTATTGGGGCAATAAGTTCTGAAACCGAGGAGAGAAATAAAGGCAAGCATAATTTCGTACTGCGAAACATTCCGAGCAACTTATCTGCTATGGAGGGAGCGCATTTGTTCCTACAAAGTTGTGGCTTGAGTTTCAGTGTCGCACAAGCTAAACGACTGCGCTCGCTTAGCCGTAATGCGCCGATATTAGTTGCCCTTTTCTCCATGATAGAAGTTAAATAAATAAATTAAATAAATAAATTTTAATTTAATGCCAGTTTACAGGCATTGTCAAGGGAAGCGATTAAACACAAATCCGACCAGCTGTGAAAAAAAACTCCTCAGCTTAAGGCATAAAAATATAGTTTATGGTGGTTTTTGTGGTTTGGAGGGCTCAGGAGAAAAAAACTGTCGGCGGTGGTAGAATATCGACCGTCACGAAGGGTATCGGAGATTATCGGACGTCAAATTCCTTTCATGAAGTTGGGGATAGTCAAAGTAGAGGCGTCGAGGAACAGCTGGTGAGACCGGCCATAGTGTTCAGAGACCACAAACGCCATCGCTACGGTACAGTCGATCAGTAGATTCAGCACCCAAAATCTGTGGGAGCTTTTCTGAATGCAAAAATCGAGTAATAGTTCTCTTAAATAAAGGAAAATTTTGCAGAGTTTTCACACTCATGGGTAGTTTATTCCAAATAGCAATTGCATTTACAGAAAAGAACCGACGATATTTAACAGCACGTGCCAGAGGCAGAAATAAGAAGACCTCACGGTGACTGTTACTTCGTGGGTGGATATGATGTCTTAAAGAAGTGAGTGGGTTAAATGTGTGATTATGTAAGAGTTTAAATAGCAAAAATAGTCCCTTTTGTAATCT